GAATACTTCAAGTTCTAGTCCTGCATCATATTTTAAAATTTCTTGCTTCTTTTAACCCAAAAAAAAATTCTTGTTTTGATTACTTATGAAAAATAGTCATCCAATAAATTTTTGGTGATTCAATTGAAAATTCATCAGCGAAAACAAACAATTAACTCAGTAAATAAGTGGTTAATATAATGTGTTGTTCTCATGAAACTTTAGAAAAAGTCAAATCCATATAGTCAATAAAACTCCAGCAATTTAACTTATGTCCAGTTCATCACCTTTAACTATTTATTTATTTTTCCTCGACAAATTTCATTTTGCTTTATAATAGCACATAAATTATACTTCTATTTTAAATATTTCCTTTATCAATTATTTTTTTACTCAAAATATTTACTTTTTATCGTATTTTCCCTGTAATTTTTCTTAACGTTTTTTTGAAGTGATTCACCCTGATCACTATATGATCTATGTGCGATCCGAACCTCAAGGTGGGCGTGCCGGAGTGGTTATCGGGCATGACTAGAAATCATGTGGGCTCTGCCCGCGCAGGTTCGAATCCTGCCGCTCACGTTTTGCTCCTTGGTTTTTTACCACCTGATTATTATTGTCGTCATCATTTTAAATCTGATTTCCGCAGGACTAACAAAAGAGAGGGAGAGCATGTGTTGGCTACTTGGCTTTCAAAGTGGATTATGGGTCTGAGCACAGAATCCTCCCATGCTAATCCTCATATTTAATGAATTCATACATGGAACGATAACGTTAGCTTTGTATACGATGAAACAAAGGTCGTCCCTTAGCTTCCACCATCCCATGGCTTAGGTTAGTGGTACGAAAGCTTTCAACTTTCCTCTCATTTGTTGAGCCATCATTATTCTGGACCAGGTATTTCATTTGTGGTACACACCCTTTCTCTTTTTATCCTCTTTCCCAGCTTCAAATCAATCAAATCCTTTATCCTTCAATTTTACTGATCCCTCTTGCCATTGCCAAATTAAACACTACTGCTCAAGCCACATGGTGGGATCGATATGCCACTTGACTATTTCTTACCCAAAATCTGATTCTTTGCAGGTCAAATTCAACAGCCTGTATCACCGCCACACACACAGCATCCCACATTTGCGCATGAAAGATTCTGCATTATCCTCCTCACTGTGTGTTCCCACCATGTTCATTATAACACAATTATTTGCAGACCACTAATGACTCACAATTACCTGTGACTGACATCCTCGGCCTTCATCCATTGTAGGTCTTTTAGCAAGCCTTAAAACAAAGGCAGCATCAAAGATTCACCCCCTCCCCCCAAAACCAATGTTTTGATTCTATGGTAATAAGCAATAAGAACAAACGGCACTGCCATTTGAGTATAAACACATGCTTTCTTATGATTAAGACCAGCAGGGCAGGTTTTTTTTATTTTTATAAATAAAACAATGCATCATTACATGTTTGCTGGAGAATAAAGTCCACATTTAAATATATAAGCTTGTGAAGTTTAGGATAACATAAGGCTTCTCTTTTTGGAGAATTAAAAGAAAATAGAAGTTTTAAAGAATGAGAAAAAGAGAACATGCATTATAAAATACTAATTATCTTCAGCCCCTACATTAATAATTTGTGGACAATCCGATACCACACACACACACACACACACCATTGCAAGTAGAAGGTTACGCAAAACTAGTGTAATTTTGAGCTTGGATTTGCTCTATTTCGCATAATAATAAGAGTTTCTTGATAACCTCTTCCCACCTATGTATGTTATTGCAAACAATAACCTCTTCTCTCACTGACATAAACTCCAAGTAACTGCAGATTTTAAACTGCAAACATCGGAGTTGTTAAATATTGTAAATGTATATGCATGTTATAAGAAGTCATAACAGGACACGGAAAAAGAAAGAAAACTGCAATAGCTGATATTAAGACAAATTTACAGCATGAATGGAGAAAAAAAATAATAACTTATTCCAATGGTACAATGGATGAAGCATTTGAGTGCACAAACGTTTGAATCATAGTGAAATGGTAAATTTAATCTCATGTATTCATATTCGTATTATTTAGTCAGAATTCACAACATAGATCAGACTTCTCTAATGAAAGAGAGTAAGAAATCTTCCAAAACAACTAGACATGACAGCATCCCCGCTTATACACCAAAACCTCATATTTCTTCCGTTCAAGAAAGTAGCGCTACAAAATGAGTACCATGGACCACGTTGAAGGATTAGAATCAAGAACTAATCTTGTGGCATTCATGATTGTGGCTCTTGGTGAACAATTTGCCCGACCACCATAATAAATTGATGGGCTATAGTGGCTGCTGGGCTCCACTGCGCACTCATTCTAATTGCTAGGCACGGCCACCACTGTTTTAACCTTTGCTACCTGCTTTTTAGGAAATAGATTTAGTGAATTCGAAGGGAAACCCATTCAAATTTTGCTAAGACAGAAAAACTCTATATCAAATTTCATCTCAATGCCCCATACTTTTCATATGAGAAATTATGTATTTTTTGATAGATCTGAGGCGAAGTAGCCATTCATGTCTCTAAATCCTAACTCAAGATTAGTAATTTCTTGTAGTATTAACTGTTAATTAAAATGCCAAAGTGAAACTGAATTTTATTTTGTAGATACGTGTATCAGACATGCGGTATGCATTTGTAGTGTGAAGGACTTGCTTGCAAGTAGTCAATAGATAGGTTTGCTGAGTAGTTAGGATACATGAAAGCAGTGTTAATTAGAAAAGTAAAAAAGAATAATCTAATTTCAAGGTACTGCTGTAATGCATAATTGCATACTAATGATTAGCAGAAAGAATTAGAAGGTAAACAGTAGATCCACAAAGAAGTTTTTCCATGTTGCTTCTTGCTCTAATGGCTCCTCACTGTACAATTATGATGGTATTGTCTGTTGGTATTTGTGGCCTAGCAGTGCACGTACAGTCCAGATCACATGGATTAGGAATTATGAGATTATTAGAGCCACCAGTTTAAAGCTAAACCATTATAGCGTTATTGAATGTGGAAACAAAGAATTTAATAACAAAATCTCTCCAAAAACGCGTGGTTGGATTGCCTTCATTGGATTTTCATCCAGCAAGTGTTCTTCTACTGTATTTTCAAGTAATCGGGGACAAGAAAGCCCTATGAAGAGTGCTGGTTCAATTCGATTTTGATCAATGGGGAGTTCGAATACACTTGAGGGCTAAGTAAACCAATGGATGGTTTTGATTCTATTTAAAACTAGACCATGAGCCCTATGCTAAATTTACATAAAAATTGGCGAGTTGCACAATTCATGGCTTATAAATAGTATGGTTTTCTATGGATTTTATATCATATATTATATTGATACTGTGCTAATGTAAATGAAGACCTGACTATAACAGATATGGATAAAAATCAGTCATACATGGAGGGATAGTGGCAAATGTAAATACAACAATTCTTTCTTATTCTCCTCAATCAACATCTTTTTTTTTTTTGGCTCTTAAGTAATATTTTAAACAATAGCTGCATATAAAACAAGAAGTTTCAATCCATCCGAGAATTATCCACTTGCAATTGCCGCCACTAGCATAAACGTTCTGAAGTGGGAATAATGTAATTTCCCTTCTTACCTATGGGATGTTCCCACTGAGTTCATGTTATATTCTCTGCCTTTAAAAGGGCAAGCTCAGAGATCTCAAATGCAAGCTCCAAGTTGAAGCCTAGAAGAATTACAAGTTTCTGTTCATTCTAATTTTAGCAATTCATTGAATGGTTAGTGCATGCTTGTTATTATTGACTTTTCATCATTGTCTGATACATTACCTTAGTTTTTGCAAATGCTTTTATTTCCTATGTTTCAGGAGGAGAAGTTGAATTGGACAGTTGATAATGTTGTGGACTACAGAGGTTGTCCTGCTGAGAGATCTAAGACTGGTGGTTGGGTACCGGCCTCTCTCATTCTAGGTTTGCCTTTCCCCTTTGACGCAACACCATTGGCCTTATCAATTCTGAAAGTAATTTTTGATTAACTGTAATATGAAATAAATCAGAACTAAATTCCAGTTACTATGCAATATAAACTTGACTATAATTGACCCTTTAACATTCTAAGATTGTTATGATTTCATGTTTGTTTTGTTAGCTACAAGATGGTGATTCATGCAGTACTTGCAGCCTTAAAAAAAGAGAGTTGATGTTTCATAAAAAGGCAACATAGAAACACATGTAGTATACTAAGAACGTCGAGAGTAGGACCCACGCTGGGAGTTCTGTCCCTTCTAATCATCGGAGCTCCTCATAATATTCCATTTGATTCAATCTAATAGCTATTCAGGGGGATAATTTCATCATAGGATGGAGAAAATGTTAGTGAGACATGTCAAAGCAGATACATAACACAATATTAGAGTTGGAGAAAAATCCAAGTGGAACAGATCACATTAACTTTCCAGCATCCCAATGTACTGTTTGTTGGGAATTGGAGTTGGAAATGGCGTAATACGGTGATACCATATTAGATTCGTACAGGATTTTTTTTTTTTTAATTCTCATCATTCGTACTGTAAATAAAGACAACTTTTCAGGCCAAAAAAAAAAAAGATAACTTTTAGATCATATTTAAGGTTTAACCAGAAGATTTTTTCCCCCCGGCTTTTTATCTTAGAAGAGACTACTTGAGTAAGTCGTTGACCGTAAGGAGATCCATCTTGAAGATTGTGGCCATTAATGAGAATACAAGTCCAAGGGTGAAACCTTACTTATGGAGATGCAGAGAATTTTTTATGTAGTTTCTTGAATCTTGTTTTAAACCAACCCCCCCCCGGGGGGGGGGGGGGACTGTCTGTTTCTAAGGATTGAACTTTGTTTTTTGTGAGCATATTATGTTTTCCCCCCTCATTTAGAGCTATATTTTCAACTTTGTTTTCTTTTCGACGTAACAAATTGTTCAAGTTTCATAGTTACATCTGACCAACGAACTGAAAATATTAATATTAATCTTCACAATAGAAAAACAAATGAGTAGAAGTTAATTTCCAAATTTCTTACAGGAATTGAAATTGTTGAGAGGCTATCCACCATGGGGATTGCAGTGAACCTGGTGACATACTTGATCGGAACTATGCATCTTCCAAGCTCAACTTCAGCCAATATTGTCACTGATTTTATGGGCACATCGTTTCTCCTGTGTTTGCTTGGAGGTTTTCTTGCTGATTCCTTTCTGGGAAGATATAGGACAATCGGAATCTCTGCTGCAATACAAACTCTGGTTAGTTCATACTGCACCTAAACGTTATTTATTTATGTCACAGAAAAACGCAACCTTAATTTGAGTTGTCATTAACTTATTCCTCCTCCAACCACCAACTTAACAAGTTAGCTCCTATTTTGGTTGGTGGATGCAGTTGATATAAAAAGACAGCATTAAAAGCATTTTACGGACTACAATATTAAATCGAAAGAAAATTTTTTGTAATACTGGAAGTTCGGTTCACTGAACAAAAGTAGGATTTTCCTCAGACGAATTTTCGTCTTGTCATGTATTCTCCCTAGTTTTAACTTTGAGGAGGATGGTGATTCCAGGGAACTGCCACATTGGCAATCTCAACAAAATTGCCACAGCTACGTCCACCACCTTGCAATGCTACAACGAGCGGGGACAATTGCAAGCAAGCTAATGGATTTCAAATGGGATTTTTATACATGGCTTTGTACATTGTTGCTCTAGGGACTGGTGGTCTGAAGTCTAGTGTTTCTGGGTTTGGAACTGACCAGTTTGATGAGAAAGATGAGAAGGAGAAGTATCAGATGGTCTATTTCTTCAATAGGTTCGTCTTCTTCATTAGTTTTGGAACTCTGATGGGTGTCACAGTGCTCGTGTATATAGAGGATGAAGTGGGTCGAAGCTGGGCGTATGGTATATGTTCTGCTTCTATGTTGATAGCCATTTTGGTATTCTTATCTGGAACTAAAAGATACAGATATAAGGAAAGCTTGGGAAGCCCAATTATCCATATTTTCCAAGTCATTGTTTCTGCTATAAGGAAAAGGAAACTCAATCTGCCATACAATGCTGACTCGTTGTTTGAGAACACACCTGAGGCTTCAAGAATTAAGCACACTGATCAGTTCCGGTAGGGTGGACTTTTAAACGTCACATCATTATTTGCATTACAATTGAATTATCTGCTTTTTGCCTGTAAATTTAAGCAGACTGATCATGCCTATAATAATCAGTGATGGAGCCAGCCTCAAACGTTTGGGAAGGATTTTTTTTTTTTTTGGGTGTGTTTTATATTAAAATAGTTAATATGTTAGACGATTAGATTAAATTTATCCCTTCATAGTCTCATACCCTTAAGAAAGAAAACGGTTATCTAAGACATCATTTTAGCATTGTTTTATTTTCTGCTATAGTTTCTTGGCTACGCATTTTTGTTAAGATTAGAGGAATCAGTCTAAATGATTGTCTCATTTTCTGCTATAGTTTCTTGGAGAAAGCAGCAATTGTGGCAGAAGGTGATCTTGAGAAGACCATATCTGGTTCTGCTCCAAACCCTTGGAAACTATGCTCATTGACAAGGGTAGAGGAAGTTAAGATGATGGTGAGGCTGCTACCAGTGTGGGCCACAACCATCATGTATTGGACCACATACGCACAGCTGATCACCTTCTCAGTTGAGCAAGCCTCCACCATGGACAGGTCCATTGGGAATTTCCAGATTCCTGCAGGCTCTCTCACTGTCTTCTTTGTGTTGGCTGTACTAATCTCTATTGCTGTTTATGATCGTCTCATCATGCCCCTTTGGAAAATGTGGAAAGGCAAACCGGGTAAAACTTACTGTAGAGAAAAAATACGAAATAATAAGATATTCCAATTTGTTTTGATACAAAAACAGATCAGAGAAATGGAGAAAAGAGTAAGGCAACTTGGTTTACTGGTTGATGATAGATGCTAGTCAATATAAAATAGACTCGTCATGTTTGAGTCAGTCATTCATTCATGTATATAGGCATTACATGGCACAGAAGTACCCGGTTCAACCTGCATAAATTATTGGCATTTATCAGGTCCTCTTCTAACATATTTCCATGGAAATTTTTACGTTTATAGCTTAAACCAAAGTATTAGAAACAAAAAGCAATTCTTTACAATATAAGTGCGTGTCAATAGGTCCCATCATCTGGAAAACCTACTTTTTACGTTTTATGAAAAATTCTTGGATGCACCATATGTACATACAACTGTTAAAACTTAATCGGCACAACTTGTCTTGTGGATCTCACATGTTCCGGCCAAATCTGAGCCGTGTCATATTTGTTCGCATGGTGTACAAAAGAATTTGTCATGAGTGATTTGTCCTGGCACTTATTAGTGCAGTTATTACATCTAAAGGTTCAACTGTTTTCTCCATTACTGAAGCCAACATAAAAAATCCATTGCATAAAAATTTGAATGACAAAACTAACCTTTAAAGCAGTTTTAAGTAACTATATTCCATGCAACGATGGGATACTTATCCAGCTGCAATGGCCTAAAAACATTTTCGCCATAGGTACACAAACACATTTAGAAACCAAAGCTATCTTCAACGTAACAACACTATTAACTAGAAAAGTTGCATCTTTCTGTGAAATAGGTTTCACCAACCTACAGAGGATTGCGATAGGGCTTGCACTTTCAACTTGTGGAATGGCAGTCGCTGCATTGTGCGAGAGAGAAAGACTGAAGGTGGCAAAAGGAGTGAATCCAACCCCAGCAAGGCTCCCAATAAGCGTTTTCCTGCTGATTCCACAGTTCTTGTTGGTAGGTTCTGGTGAAGCCTTCGTATACGTAGGCCAACTTGACTTCTTCCTGACACAATCCCCAACAGGCATGAAATCCATGAGCACTGGTCTCTTCCTTACCACCTTATCTCTTGGCTTCTTCGTCAGTAGCTTCCTAGTTTCAATTGTGAAGAAAGTTACTGGGACTAAAGATGGAGAGGGATGGCTAGCTGATAACATGAACAATGGAAGGCTTGATTTGTTCTATGCCCTGTTAACCATTCTATGTTCAATAAACTTTGCTGCATTTCTGGTGTCTGCAATGTGGTACAGGCCTAAGAAATCTAAACCTGCTCAGCAAATGGCGGTAATAGACGAGTCATTGGCAGATAAGTTTTGAAGAGCTTTGACGGTTAATTGTAGGTAGCCAGATTATTTTACGTAGTTTGGTTTGTTCTTCCTGGCAAAGTTGAGGACTCCACATATATATAACAAAAATAAGCCATGACTCTTCACCAAAAAGATTCTGGGTTGAGCCACTAAAAGCTTTGATACAATAGAAAGTACTTCCTGTCCCAATGGGAAATTGTCCTGTTCTCGGAGAACTGTGAATTGTCGTTTGCAATTTTGATGCAGCAGTGCATGAAGAAACAGGAGATTCAACCCGCAATTTGAGATGATATTTTGGAAGACTTGTTGGGGTGTTCATGTTGGAGCTGGAATTCCTTGTCCTGTGAATTGGTAAGATCATTGTTGTCTTTTATATTCTTGTATGTCATGTTTGTCATTGTTTGGTTTTGCTTATATGATCTGTTATACAAGTCTCTCGTTCTGTAACGTTCTGGCTCAATGAATAAAGTTTATCACATTATTCAAGATTGTTAACAGATATTCATATATTTATACGTATACATATATAGGTCGTTTCAACATAAAATTAATAGAAAATAAATAACAAACCTCATGCATAAGTCATAATTAATATAGCTTATTTAGACTCTATGCATTGAACAAGAAAACACATGTCCAAGAATTCATATCAGTTGCTGATATTTTATTTTTCAACACTCGGATAAGAGTAATATAAAATATACGGGGCGATTAAGAGTTTGTTTTTGGTATTTAGCGTCAATCATGCCAAGTGTTTAAACCTTTCATCATGTAACAAATGGCAGCATACACCAAACATCCACATAGGTGGCAGGCAAGAGCTCCGTTCCTGTCATATCAGAGCCCCTCATTAGCGGCGAGGGGATAGAATATTAGAATTTCAGGTCCTGTTTTTGGCCATGATAATTGAAATCAGATCAAAAGGGCTATTTCCTCATGAAGAGGGAGGCTGCATATTGTCAAATACTACCTAACGCCCTCAATATAAAAGTTAATTATTTATAATAGATTAAAAAAACATACTAAGTTAATTATTTATAATAAATAGGTGTTGTTTATTTTAAAATATCCTTGATAATCAAGTATATTAGTTAAGAATATTATTATTAGAAAGGCTATTTTAAAAAAAAATACATAGATATAAAAAACAAAATAAATTGAAGTCTTACATTTATAATCAAAATAAAAATTAAACATAATCTTATATTAAGAATCTAGAAACATTTCCCCACTTTAATGACAGCCGAAAGCAACATATCATGATAGAAAGGAGACCTTCCCCAAAAAGTGAGACTCAGATACGAGTGAGAAAACAAATTCATGTTCAGTAGTCACCACTGTTGACTATCATGTACGAATGCATACCTTTTTTTTTTCAATTTTAATTCGAGGAGTTTGAAATTATAAGCACGATCGAACTCCATTTATAAACCGAACCCAATGCCAAATTATTAGCCTCATCAATAGTACCCACAGTTCCAAAGCGCCAAGCGAACTAGCAAGAAGTCGAACGACACAATGCCGCCCCTAAACAAAACTGTTATCCAACTGCAGGTGGTTCTGTTCTTTCTCGACCTTTTCTTCTCTACTTTCGTCATAGCATAGACCCATGCTTGTAAAATGAATCGAAAATGTAGCAATGCAAACACAAAACAGTACTTCTGAAAAGCTCAATGATCATCAGATCAGAACCCAGAGTGTAGGGACTAGGTTAAATTAAAAATCCAAGTATAGAAATTCCTTCAATATTGAAAATGCATTTTGGTCCAAGAAAGGGAAACGGATTTCAGGTGAACGGGAGTCTAAAAATAGGACTTCTTCAACAACCATACCCTAACGTATATACCTCCCACTTTCACAGCGAAAGGCTAGATCTAGACGACACAGCCAATTCCGCTGCCACGGGGGCAAATTGCAGTGAAAGCAGGAAGTATAAACAAAAACATAGAACAATACACATCAATTATCAAATATAGATTTTAATAATCGTCCACAAGGTTTTCTCCAAAATAAGGTACATCTAGCCTAGGTGAACTGGAAATACAAGGGGAAAATACCCATCATAACCCGTGGTGCATCATCTCAGCTAAAACCTACGTACATGGAAGGAAAAGATATAGGGATAATAACATAAAAACCCACACCCGTATACCACAAACCCAAAAGCGCAGCCAGCAACCTCCAACTTCGATCAAGGAATTATAACTATAAATCTTATATAATCCAAAAAAAATGAGATTAGCAGTCACTTCAATTCTCGTTGTCGTTCTTCCTTCCGGTGTTTCCTGCTTCTTTCTCTTCTAGCAATCTTCCAGCCTCCTCATCAGCTTGCTGAGCCTTCTTCTGTGCCTCCGAGGCCTTGAGGGCCTGCAGCTTGGAATGATTATAGTACGCGACCCCCAAAAACGCAAGTCCATACCCAAGTAAATTGACGGGTGTGACTGTGTCCTTTATCACAGACCAGGAGAATGCAATCAACAACCAATCCTTCACCACCCCAGCAACATTCATGGTCAAAGCCGAAGTCTTCCCAACAAGCAAAAACACCGCAAGATTCAAAGCAAAAGCGCAAAAGGAATTTGTCCCGAAAATTTTAAGGTCCAGATGAAAACTTGAGTGATCCCTCAAAGTCGGGTACTCTACGATGACCCAGGGGATGGACAAAAACACCAAACAACAAGGGGCGACATAGTAAAGTGAGGTGATGGGGTTAAGTGAAATACCCTTGGAATTCAGCAAAATCTGGATCAAAACCAACCTGGTGGCTTCAAATGCAACCGCCATAAGCTGCAAAGTAACACCCCAGGAATTGAATTTAGCTTCACCATACGCGGCAATCGCAACCCCAACAGAAATCGAGATCATGTTAACCATGGTTTCACTCTTGAAACCGTCCTTCTTGAACAAAACCCCAATGGAATAAACAGCGACGGGCATAAGAGCTTTGAGCATTTGAATAAAGGAAACAGAGAGGTATATATATGCAGAATTCGAGAACCAGAGGGAAAGGGAGTAGAGTGCACCGATGGGCACGACGGACTTGAGGTAGAGTTCGCGGGACATTGAGACGGGCTCGACCAGCTTCAACACACGAACAAGGAGATAAGCGATGGAGGAGCAGAAGGCCATGTGGATCATGGTGAGAGAGATCGGGAAGGGCCAATTGTACATCTTGCGGTCCAGGATGTACTTGTTGTAGACGATGACGGTGAAGCTGAGGAAGATCCATATTGCCACGTAGGTGTAGGAGAGGATGACTTTCTTAACAACCCCATCGGAGATGGCCATTTTTGTCGATGGAAGAAGCAACCCTAACCCCAACTCCGATGAGACTTTAGGGTTTTGAAGCGAGAAGGGGAAGGAGGGTTTAAGAGAGGCAAAGAAGGAAGCGGCTCACCTAGATCTCAGGAGCAGATCATTCAATAAATTTTTTTTTTTTTTTGGCCTGAGGAGTAGATCATTCAGTATGAAATGGGGTATTTTGAAAAGAAGTAGAAGACGACGAAGCAAGAACGCGGAATCAAAAGACGATTTTGGAATTGGGAGTTCAGCTTCGTCAGTGGAAAGTCAACAACTTTGAGCAATTCAACTTCGGTTGACACTTGGTGCATCCATGATCCAACAACCAAAAAGATAGGATAGGGCGACCTGGAACTCCATGATTGGTTGGTGCTTTGCGAACTTAATTTCTTTAAAAAAAATTGGTTAGAATAGTATGTGATTCTTTTTAACCGGAGAGGAGATTTTGATTTTTTTATTTATCATGTGCACTTTTTTAGCGCATCATCTCTAATTTTGTTCCCATTAATTAAGGAAAACAAATATAAAGACGAAAAGAGATAAAATGAGTGAGAAAAAATATTAATTATTTAATAAGGATAAAAGTAAAAATTTTAAGTATTTAATGATTTCTTTAATATGTGAGAAACTATTATAAGTGACAATAAAAAAGGACCAGTGTAAAAACCCTCTACCTCAAAACATTTTAACCCATCATAAAACCTCTACTATGGTAGAAAAGGAGAGCTGTTAAAACGAGCTACCATAGTAGAAGGAAAATTTTATATTTTTAGAAATTGACTTTCAAGCTCGGGTCAACTCGTAAGACGTTGCATGCAACTAAAATAATCTATTCATATCCACTGGGCCTCCGAGCCTCCGGTCCGGGTAACACATACATCAAGATCAGCCCATCTAAATAGTTTTCAACCATATAATCCAGAGTTCATCAAACACTAGCAATGGCCTCCGACCAAACAAAATAAGGAGATACATTCTCTCCAGTTTACAATAAGGCCGGGTAATCAAATATATCAAAAAGCAGTCCTAAATGTGGCAATATATACTAGTCATACATATACAAATGCTAGAGGCCTAAAGCTAACCGAGCTCAAGCCTCTACGTCTCTTCCCGATGGCCCACGCCCAGAACCTTCACCTGAAAACATTGTAAACCACGGGGCGAGACTAAGTCCCAGTAACCAACCTTTCCAATACTAGGTACTACTAAATAGGTGCTCGTGAGGTGTCAAGTGGGACAGTTCACAAATAATATAAAACGATAGCCACAACAATTCATGTAAGTGCAAGATGCAATCCCATCAACCAAATCCCTCACTTTGGGGGATTTTCAGGAGCCGAAGCCGGCCTATCCCTCACTATGGGGGACGTAAGGAGCCATAAAAGGCCTATCCCTCACTCTGGGGGACGTAGGGAGTCAAAAGGCCTATCCCTCACTATGGGGGACGTACTAAGCCAACCATCATGCATTAATGGAGGCCTTACCACGTGGTAGTAACAGACAAAACTCTCACTAATTCCCAATTAATGCATCATGCTCAAATCATAATCAAAGAGTAATAATCATTTCACAATTAACCTCATTCAGTGGCATATCCTTCACAATTTCAAGATTTCATTCATCATCAATTAAAAACCCCACAAGACGGTTTTCCCTTTTTATATACAACATACAGTTCGAACATAATTACTACTTAAAGCACAAAACACAAATCTACTCACAGTACCACAGAAGCAAGTACTAAGGATTGGAAAGTGGTTACCTCTCGCCTGAGCAAGGAACAACAAACCAACGATGTGGCCCCGTGCACCACTAAGACTCACAACCGGTCTACACAAGCACACAAACACACAACCATCATATATTAGCTTTCAAACTAATAATGTGGTCAACACAACACTTGGGGACACAAAATTCCTATCTCCCATCAAAACTCTACCCAACTCAAAGGGTATATCTAACAAGGCAACACTCTAAAGTCATACCAATCCATTAACACCTTAATTCCTTTCCAAACATCAATTAGGATTCACAACCTCAAGGACCCACTATGGAATTCTACACCCAAACATCCCATTTGAGCAATTAAGGCTCCAACAACAATTCTAAACCGATTAAACATCCAATTTAACCCTCCTTAACATAACCCAATTCACAAAACCCAAAATCAATCTCTACATTGTCATCCTCAATCCCAGATCATCCAATTCCATAAACCCTAGCTCCAAAAATTCAAGATTCTTTAAATCTAAGGAAACTACACCGATTAAATACTTAAACTAACCCAATGCAATCAATTAAACTCAAAACAATCGGTCAAAAACCTCAATTCCATCACAACTTAGAAAATCCTAGGGTTCCACCAAAAATCCTCAGAAATTCCAAGAAATTCCAATAAAGAAAGAAGATTAGAGGTTAAAATCACTTACTTGAGGTAATGGATTCTTAGAAATGCCCCCTCCAAGCCAAAATACCGAAACCCTAGCAGAGCCTCTCTCTACCTCAGATTTTCTTATTTTTCGCACGCTGAACTGCTCCCGCGAATATATAGATTCGCGACCTTTCGCCGCGGTGAACTCCATCTTCGCCGCGGCGAACTAATCCCGAGAGGGATTACTCGCCTGAAAACCTGGCTTCGTCGCGGCGAAAGCTTCCCGAGAGGAAACTCTCGCTCGCCCAGAAAACATTCGCCGCGGTGAAACCTTCCCGAAAGGGAAGCCTCGCTCACTTGAACAACTTCGCCACGGCATCCCCTAGACTTCGCTGCGGCCAAACCTTCCCGAGAAGACACTCCCCTTTGAAACTCCCGGTGTGCCGCGGCGAACATACCCTGAGAGGGGTACATTCACCTATTCCTCCAACAAACCTCAAATCCAACCCAAACACCAAGATCAAGATTAAATCACTAATCTATCCTCAAAATCAACCCAAAAGAGGCTATTAAAACCCGATAAAACTCAGGATGTTACAACCAGAGTGGTAAGAGTTAATTGATTAATTTAAGTAAATTAATAAAATTAGTTAGGTTAGCTATTTGTAATAAATATGTATTGTCTTTTCTAAAATACTATTGCTAACTATGTGTATTTGCTAAAACTACCATATGATGAAAAATTTAATATGTGCAACTCTTATGCGAAATACCTTAAGAAAAATAGATAAATATAAGAGTTAAAATAGATTGAGATATTTTATTTAAGATTAAATTGAATATCAAACTAAATCTAATATCAAAGATCGGAGGTAGTATTAAAATTCAATATTTCTATTACATATTTGTCACTCTTTCAATTTTAAATGTAATACCCATTTTATAATATAATTTATATTATAAAATAAATCTTATATTTATTATCCAAGTATTCACAGTGATTCCAGGTTAAGCTCAATTATATTTGGTATAAAAATAAATAAATAAATGTATTTTTAAAAAAGATGATTGAAATCAAATAAATAGACTAAAAAGTTTATAAATTGAATTAATATAAATACAAATTATGTTTATACATATAATTTAAAATTCAAACATGTATAATTTAATTTATTTTAATATATGGCTATTATTAAAAACTATACATCTTCAGCCCCTTCGACCTTCGGCGACATTCAAAAAAATGTTTTTAAAGAAAATTGAAACATCTCTTCTCATAATTTGAATATAAACTTTCACATAATTGCATATTATGGGGTGTCTTTCTTTAAATTCTGGCAGTATTTGACCATTGAATTTATAGTAAAATGTTTCAAAGCGTTTAAGAAGACGGTGAAATCTTGGCCTGCCAGACAATTTCTCTTATGGAATTACGGGTCTTATAAGTAAAGCGTGGAACGCTAAAAGTCTTCTGTAAACTGCAATTCTATATAATTTTTATGCCTAACTATTCTAATTGTCGTAAATAATGTCATTGACTTGAATTTCATGCACTGTTAGTTGCATATTGATGTGGACCTTTTCTGTTCACTTCATACCATTACTTTAGAGTAAACTTTATTTTCCTGGTAATATGTAAAACAATAAGAAGTACTGCGTGGCAGGGGAAAAAAAAGAAGTATAACCGAAACTAAACTTTTCTTTTTTGGGGTACAAATCGAAACTAAAATGAAGACAGAAAGAAAGATCTCATTAGTCATTATTACAATTCAGGGCCCAACACTGTTCTTAATGTAAACGAAAACGCAATGGTCATAAAAAAGCAAAAAAAGAAAAAGTGTAGGGCAGGATGATTATTGTTCACCGAGTGGAATGGGGTTTAAATCAACATATTTCTTCAGATATATGGGTTTGGTTCTTATTTCATGGTTGGTTAATGTTTATTTTCTATGATTATTGCTAATCTAATGAAGAGATACAGTGATAATGGGAAATCCAACAGTGAGGAAGCCAGGATTCAGGAAGGAGGTGAAAACTGAAAAGGTGATCTAGTGTTTTGTTTGTGGGCCTGAACGGGCTTTTTCGATGCCATTTTGGGCCGTCTCTGCTGTCCACTTTTATAATTTTTTTTTAAAAAAATTGACTCAGTGACTCGAGTTCAGTTTTATTGGCTGGTTAGGATTAGAAACATGAGACATAGAAAATAAAGTCCAGTAGAAAAAGTTAATTCCTTATAATACAGCGAACCAAAATTTGAATTTTTGTTAGGAGATATGTTCATATTTAGTATCTAACAGTATCTCAAAAAAAAATTCAACAAAAAAATACATGTGCTTAGCAAAACAAGTAAATAAACAAAAACATGAGAGGTTTCGCTTAAAATCCTAATGTATTTCAACACATGCAAATTTGTAATATTCAAAGACCTAAAAGTAGTTAGAGATATCAGCCATTGAACATGCAAGTAAAATGCAATTTCGATAATACTGGCAGAGGTGTTAGTTAAAGCCGGGAAAACGGGCCGAGCCCGTCGGGCCGGTCCGTTTAAGCCCGTTTAAGTTGAGGGCCGAGCTTATATTTTGAAACCTTGAAAGGAAAGTCGGGCTTAAAAGGGCCAGCCCTGTAGGGCTGAAAAATAAACGGGCCGGCCCGTTTAGGCCCGCCAAATTTTTTTTTTAATTTCTATCTTTTTTTCTTAACTTAAAAAAGAAAACCCTAACATTTTAAACATAACATACTCTTAGTTTTACTTATCTTGGCAACTCACATAGATAGCATTCACAAAAAGAAAAAAAGAATCACTATAGCTGTGGGAAAAATAACCAAAAAAATATGAAAATTGCAAAATTTAAAACTAGGTATATTCATAAAAATATATTGTTATTTATAAGTTGTCAAAACCTATTAAAATACTGTATCTATAATTTTTACAGTCTTTATTTATCATTCTCCCATATTTTTTATACTTGAAATATAATTGATCAAAAAATCTTTTAAACTAAAATAAAGATTTATATCATTTTTATAGTAGAAACAAATTTAGAACTAAGAATGATGGACTCTTTTCTTTTTTGTCGGTATGATAAATGATTATTCTTTATGTATACTATGTTTGTTAGTTAAACTTTTTTGTTAATTATTTATAATCAAACTAGATCATCCGCATTGTAATTATCTACTGAACTTAATGCTTATTTAGTTGTTTATGTCTGTCCTCTATTTAGTTTGTTTATTCAATAAACTTTATTATACTGTAATATATGTTTAGACATGATAATGTTTATATTTGTGACTCAATTTTATTTATATTTATACTTTTTATTAGTAATTTTTATTGTTTCATTTTTATTATTTTGATAAAATATACAAAAAAAAATAAAAATAATTATTTTAATTAAAAAGACCAGAAGCCCGCGGGCTAGCCCGAGCCCGTCATCTCACGGGCCGGGCTTGAAAAAATGACTTATTTTTAAAACTCGGGTTTAAACGGACCGGCTCGTTTAAGCCCGAGCCCGTCACGGGCCGGCCCTGCAGGGCCGGGCCGGCCCGTTTTCCCAGTACTAGTGTTAGTAAGCATTCATAAATGTCAATAACAACTGTTTTGGTAATAATGCCACCTCATATTTAAATGAGATCTTGACCTTAAGTCGGCATTAACATGTTTATGTTCATCCATACATTTAAATTGTATTAAAAAGGGAACAAAAAAGACAAAACAAGTATGGGAAGACATTTCTGAAGAAGTGATCTCCCAAGTAAGCTGTTTTGCCATGTCATGTATACAAAAAAATTCATTGCATGAGGATAATTTTAATATATACATATTCATGTACAAAAGAGCATTGTTAAAAATATGTTTTGAAAAATATTTATTTGAGCCTAAGGGCGAATGAATCATGACATGGGATAAAGATATACTACTATATTGCTATAAAACAATGTGTGTTGCACTTTAATTTGTGTAAAATTAGGACTCCGTCATTATTGAAAAAGCACCCATTCTTTTAGCACCCAGGCATGTGTTTTTACTGTTTGTTGCTTTCAATTAGACTCCTTTTTATTCTCTCTCGTTTCACAACTGTCCACAATCCACTTCCCATCCTTTTTGTTTTTTTGGGAGCACTGATGTCCGTCTAATTTTACACCTACTTACCAGCCAGGTGTTTCTTTTGTTATCTCCATGTCTTCCCACTTGCCCTTTTTTTCCTACTTTAACAAAGTACGTATTCCTACCTTCAAGACTTGTTCCTTTTGACTCTTTATTCCCTTTTGTTTTTACTTTATACTTCCTTACGCCCCTCTTTGACGCCATTCATAGAAGCTTTCATACCAATTTCTTCTTATCTTCCATTGCCTCCACAAATAACGATTACACGACCCTGAAAAAACAAAAACAAAAACAAAAACAAAATAACAAAATATGAAAAATCCTCATTCCACAGTTTATTCCGCATTTCGCTCAAAGGGTTGAAGGGAAGGAATGCATCAAGCTGTTTGCTTTTTTGATGGTTTACATTAATGTTCAAAAGAAGAAGAAGAAGACGGTCATCCGAATTCTTTATTATATACTCCTTTGATCCTTAATATAAGACTTGATTGTTGAGTTGATTTGGGTCCTAAACATAAGATTTATTTCTCATATTTATTAATTTTTTCTAAATTACTTTCATACATACTCCTTCAACCACAATTAAGTAAAAGAGGGAAAAAGGATATTAAAGAATATGATTATGGTGTTTTAGGAAAAATGTGTCATATTTCTTATAATTAACTAACTTACCTAACTTTTTTAATCTAATCAAATTAGTTAAATAAATCTTATATTAAAAAATAAAAAAGTGTCTCAGTATAGGAAAAGTATCTCAACATAAGATTTACCCTCTAGTACAAAATAAATTTTATTTTAAACATCAGAGGTCAGGTCACGGAGGAACCACTAATAAGAACGTGACCATGCTGGGAAAGGCGCGTGTAAGGCGAAGTCCTCGTCCTTCTTGTGAGAAGTCTTCTTCTTCTTCTTCTCTTCTTTAAGACTTTAACTGATAATAACATTTTTTAAAATAAAAATGAGACGGTGAGAAAGTGCTCTTTTATTATCACATTCTTTACCTTTCCACTACGAATTACCATAATCATCGTTCCTCACAGATTCTTTCCAGTCTCCTCCACTTTGCATCAGTTACCCCACTTTCCTCCACCCACCATTGTCTTCCCCCCACATTTCATCTTCAACCTCATTCTCACTCGCACACACCCTCCTTCCTTCTTTCATGGATCCCAACAAGCAGCCACAGAAGAAGAAGTGCTTTCTCTCACTTGCTTTCTCTCTCCTCCTCTCCACTTTCCTCATCTTCCTCTCCGTCTCCGTCTCCTCCAATCTCTCCTCTCGCTTCAATCCTGCTGCTCAACGCGTTGTTGCCCATGAAACGCCTCGTTTCGTTGAATCCAAGCTTCGCGTCTCCCCTACGTCCTCTGACCCTGTTCCCAGAATCGCTTACTTGATTTCTGGATCAATGGGAGATGGTCACAGTCTCAGGAGGACCCTCAAGGCTCTTTACCATCCGAGAAACCAGTACGCGGTGCATTTGGACCTCGAGGCCTCGGAAAAGGAGAGATTGGAGTTAGCTAGATTTGTGAGAGACGAGCCTATGTTCGTGAGATTCCGTAATGTGAGGATGATTGTCAAGGCTAATTTGGTTACGTACAGAGGTCCCACGATGGTCACCAATACCCTTCACGCGGCTGCTATTTTGCTCCGGAAAGGTGGAGACTGGGATTGGTTCATTAATCTGAGCGCCTCCGATTATCCGTTGGTCACTCAGGACGGTACGAATTGCCCTGTAAAATTTTTCTTTCGTCAATTGTTGCTCTGCCTCATATTTGTTCGTTGGTGTGCAAGCTTTGTGCTTTTGTTTTTTGGGAAACTGATTCAATTCCAATGGACTTCTTTTTCTAAATTGAGCATGACAACAATTAGTTCTGGTATTTATCGAATCTTGTGCTTCTGAATTTAATGCTTTTTCTGTTTTGGCCTGAATCAGCGAGAATCCTGAACTCGCTGTTTCTTAATTAATATATTTTCCCAACAGTTGCCTTATTATTTATTATTTGATTACCTAAATGCATTAAAGATTCACGGTATAGTTGTCGGTGCACGGCTATCCCTCTCTCTCATGGAAGCTTTGATGGTTCGTTAATTCTTATTTGACGCTGTTGCTACTTGTTTGGTATGGTAAGAACGTGTTTTAACATTGTGGAAATTCATTTTTAGAATGTTTATATACACCTTACTATAATTATGTTGTGTATATTTTAAATGATATTGATTGATGATGATAATATTTTTATATACACGCCACACTTAAATTTTTAATAGCCTAAGAAATTGAAGGGAAAAAAATCCACGTACTGAGGTTGAACTTTTAAGGATCATTCACTTACTCTGTCAATCTGAATTGCTTCTTTTGTATGACAGATCTGCTACATACACTCTCAACTACACCGAGGCATCTTAACTTCATTGAGCACACCAGTGACATTGGCTGGAAAGAGTACGTTTATAATTCTTTTGAAATTTTGTTCGCCATGCTATTTATTTAAAATAAAAAAAATCCAAATGACCTGATCTTATTTACCTGTTACTTTTTACTATTTTCAACAGGCATCAGAGGGCGAGGCCTATTATTATCGACCCGGGTCTTTATAGCGCTCATAAATCTGATGTGTTTTGGGTGACGCAGAAAAGAAGTGTACCCACAGCTTACAAGCTGTTTACAGGTGAGAAATCAAACCGGCTTACGCAGAGTACTTCACTAAATTCAATAACTTGTACTGGAGAGAACAATAAAGAAATGACAGTATTGTAGATCCTGATCATAAATCCAAGGACTCAGCTTCATAATTTTGCTCAGGTTCTGCCTGGATGATGCTGTCTCGTCCATTTGTTGAATACTGTTTGTGGGGTTGGGATAACTTGCCCAGGATAGTGTTGATGTATTATGCCAACTTCCTATCATCACCGGAAGGATATTTCCACACAGTCATATGCAATGCTGAGGAGTTTCGTAACACAACTGTGAATCATGATCTCCATTTCATATCATGGGACAATCCTCCAAAGCAACATCCACATTTCCTTACAGTTCATGACTACCAGAGAATGGTGAACAGCCATGCTCCTTTTGCAAGAAAATTTGGCAGGAACGATCCAGTCCTGGATAAGATTGATTCTGAGCTCTTGGGCAGGAAGGCAGATGGGTATGTGCCTGGTGGGTGGTTGAGACAGACAAATTCAAACTTCACCAATCCAAAGTATGATGTGAGAAATACCACTGATCTTAGGCCTGGTCCTGGGGCTGAAAGGCTAAAACAGCTTATTAATGGTTTGTTATCAGCAAAGGACTTAAAGGCAAAACAGTGTCCATGAAAGTACAGCTGGGTTCAGTACCCATTTTCATTGCTCAGCAGCCAACTGCCAAATTGCTTGCTCTGGGCTCATCACATAGCAAGGATGATGCACCACAACAGAAGAATGAAATGAATGCTTCTTTGAAAATACGCTTTACCCGTGGCCTACTTTACACACACAAATTTGATATACAACCCCTAGTTTGGAGTTAATAATATGTATCAGATGCTTCTTATTACCAGTAATTAATGGAATTGTTGTGCTCTTTAGAATGTCTTGATAGCAAATATGAAAGAAGAGAGTTCAATTTTTTTTTTTTTAAATTATTGTCTTGCTAACTCAGCAAAAGGATATGATTTGGTACTCCGTCGAATGCCTTTTTCGCCACGGGAGAACTCAATTATAACATAATTTCGCCATTACACCTCGGATCAAGAACAATAGCCGCGGACCAGAAAAAATTTGTGCTTTTTTTGTCGTCCTCTTGGGGTTAAAAGTACATACTTAGAGTGATACATCATGCTCTGACATTATTTATTAAATACTCTTCCACTCCTCCTGAATATAAGATCCTTATATTAAATATAAGATCCTTATACACGCTAGTATAATGGTCTTATATTTAGGACCGGAGGAGTAAAATTTATCTACAAAATATATTAAATAGTGAAACTCCGTGCATTTTTTTTTGGGGGTAAAAAAAAACTCAGTGCATATTGTTTTGACAATATATATGAAATACATCTAATTAAATCATCACAGGGAAGTCATTTTCAGTTTTATTCCAAACTTGTCTTTTTACAAGCTTTATTTTTATAGAAGCTCATTCCCAAGATGAATTATTTTATCAATGAAATGACTGAACTTTTATTTATTTAGCTATTTATTTTCTAAGCAAGCAGTGCCTATATTACATGCTCAATTTTTATCTTATCCTATCAACATGCTTTTTCCCCCCTAAAATATAGGTATCCTTCTATCGAAGACCATCCTATTCTAAGCACTGTCCAGTACTAAATATGAATACCTCTCTCAGTAGGAATTCGAACATTGATTTACCATATGATGAGAAACTAAACTCTTCTGTTAAACCCAACTCCTTAACTTTATATTGGATCCCATCCCGTGGATTGATAAGAAAAATGCTTTAACCCAAGACAAAAAGAAAACAAACAATAACATACGAGGCCTTCGCCCGCCTTTTCCATTTTTTTAAATGTTTTTAACGATAAACGCGAACAGAAAAATGTGATCAGCAAATAACAGTTTTTAAATGTCCTTACCATTGCACTTCGCACTATTGCCCTCGTGTAATGTACAGGTAATAGATTAAATGATCAATTAATAGGGGTACGGAGGGAAAAAGTAAAATAGACTTAATTTAAAAAATTAAACTGACTTTACTTTAACATATTTTCAAGTAAAAATCACAAAATAAAAAAAATTACAAATAAAAAAATTACAAATAAAGACCCATTATAATATTAGTATGGGTTTTGATAACAACTTATAAGCAAATGACAACAATTTTTGTGAATAGGTCCTTGTATGTAATTTTTTAATTTCTAATTTTTTTTTACGATTTTTCCTATTTTTAACACTTTCAAGAAATATTACCAAAATCAAAATTAAATAAATACTATCATATCTTCAAAAACAAGATCAGGTTTCCCTTCCCATGCATCGAAATTTTCCTAAAAATCGATTTTTTTTCCTTCCCCTCGTTTTTTTTGGGGCCGGGGGCTGATGGCGTTCTACTCCCTCCCTGGAAAGCTTATTCCCATTAGATATCCTCCAAATTCACCATCCTGAGAAAAGAATCAAGCAATTTACATATTTCTTGTGCCTGTGGATGCGATTGATCACCGGCAAGAAATTCTTCAACTACATTATTCACTTCTATTATGCTACAACCAGGTTTCTTTTTCATTCCTGCTTCTGATATCTTACTCCTTACCTTGTTAGCCTCCATATCCCACCCAGCTTCCTTGTATATGTTATATGAAAGAACATGAGTCCCACTATCAGCTGCACCCATATCAGTAAGCTTTTTCCAGACTCTGTTTCCAATATCTACGTTCTTGTGAATTCTGCATGCATTTAGAAGAGCACCCCACACGTTGACGTCTCCACCGGCAAGTCCACCCATCTTCTCTTCAATAAAATTCTCTGCTTCTTCCACCATGCCTGCTCTGGACAAAAGGTCAATGGCGCATGCATAGTGCTCTACCTTGGGTTTAATCCCATAAACACTGCTCATTTCTTCAAACAACTGAAGGCCTTCTTCAACCTTTTTTGCATGTGTACAGGCAGTGAGAACAGCAACAAAAGTAGTCTCAGAAGGCTTTGTCCCATTTATAACCATTTGATGAAACAATTCTAAAGATTTCCTTGCATCGCCACTCAGAGCAACCCCAGAGATCATAGCATTCCATGCTCCAGTATCTTTGTATGGCATGGCCTCAAAAACAGATAAAGCTGATTCAATACATCCACATTTTGAATACATATCCACTAAAGCTGTGGCCAGTATAGGATTGGACTCCAAATTGAATCGCTTGGCATAAGAATGAACCCACAATCCTTGCATGAGTGCACCAAGATGAGCACATGCAGTGAGTACAGTTACAAGGATTGACTCATTTGGCTTGGTGCCTGTGTTCTGCATTTCTGAGAACAAAGCAAGCACTTCCTTAAAGTTACTCACTCGAGAGTATGCTGCCATCATTGCACTCCACGATATGACATTTCTTTCAGGCATTTCATCAAACAGCTCTCTAGCGCTTTGTACATCCCCCGTCTTGCCATAACCATCGATCATCGCGGTCCATAAGACTACATCTTTCCTCGGAATTTTATCAAACAACAATCTTGCAGTTTCCACTTCACGAGTGTTGGAGTAAAATTCAATGAATGCACTGACAACAAAAGGATCATCACAATAACCAAATTTAACAACATGGGCAAGCACTAAACAACCGGTTGCTTTTGAACAACGATCTAAAGCAACACAGGCCTTAATCAAAGCTGGAAAAGTATAATTATTGACAGGAACACCATTTTCCAACATCTCTAAGTAACATAATATAGCGGGTATGGGTGCATTTGCCTGAACGTACCCTCTGATCATGGAATTGTGCATGAAAGTGTTGCGGTGTTCCAGATTCGCGAAAATGGAGGAAGCGTAAGATAAAAGCAAGCCATCATCGGATGTCGCCGCGGCGGAGAGAAGCGGCGCGATGGCATAGGGATTATGCGCGAAGTGGCATCTGAGAATATGGGCATGAGTCTGCTTCAGTTCCTTCAAGTTCTTGCATTTTTGCGCCACAGCCGTCAGAAATCCTCCGTTCTTAACAGTCTTTTGAATCATATGTGAACCAGCGTAGCATTTACAACCAAGCAATTCGTGTCCTAAATTTGTTGAGCTTTCTCTCTATTATGGGGATTTTGATTTTGCTATCCTTCTCATTCGCATGACACCCCACAGAGACTTTACATATACATACACATTCATGTGCACGTGTGCGTATTAATATATATCAGATAGTCATCTTCGCTAGCTAATATCAACGAGAAATTTATATTTTATTTGCGGCATATCCTCCACCAACAGAAGAAAAGACTAATCTCATTTAGATATGGAAGTTACTAGAATTTTTTCAAAATCCAACATCTGACTCCATGTTGAAAGGATGCGTAAGTTGATTTATATTTTATATTAATATATGGATTATTTATTTTATTTTATTTTATTTTATGTTCACAATTTTTATCAAATAAATTACACCAATGTCATTTTTACCTTTAATTATACACAATTTGAAACCCATTGATTCAACTGACACTAAACATCTTTTTTAATCTTCACTTAGATTACATGTTATTGGTCTGCATTGTTTAGGGCTAATTATGTTTTTAAAGAAAATATTACCACCGGTTTTTAATATAAGAATTCGTTTAACTTTTATTTTGATCCTAAATATAAAACCCTAATTCACTTTGTCTCTTATATTTATCTATTTTTTTTAAGATAGTCATTGTAATAATGTTAATTCTAACCAATACGCTTAATTAGCAATGATATTTTAAAAAAGACAATACATATTTATTACAAATAACTAATTTAACTATTTTTTTTAATATACTCAAATTACTCAACCACTTAAACTAGAGCAAATATATAAAGTTTTATTCATAAAGATGCAGGTGAGTTTCATGTCACGTTATCCTGTAACCTCTCTCTCATCATAATCTCACTCGTTATTCTCTCCATCACTGTTCTGCAACTTTAACAATTTTCTTTCCAATGTTATCTCCATGGAAGAGTCCGATGAAAGCAGAAGGGATGGTGTCAAGCCCAGATGAAATGTCTTCAAGATTCTGCAATTTCCCACTACGAAGGTGGTCAGATGTGCAAGAGACAAAATCTGGAAAAAATGTTTAAGAAATCAGCGGCCAGAAATCCTCTGATGTTAAGTCTCTTGTAAACAACGTTGAGCATGTCTGGTGCAGCTCGCTTCCCTGGATCAGTATACTCAGACATCACCCCACACACAGCCACTCTTCCAAATGCATTCATGTTGTCCACTGCTGCCTCCAACATGTCTCCTCCAACGTTGTCAAAATATATGTCTATCCCTTCTGGAAAGTACCTGTAATTGAAATTTATCGCGTTTTGTCAACAACTTATCCAAGGATCTTATTGCTGATAAAGCACAATAATATCATACGCAACTCATGTAACCGACCCCACCTAATAGAACAACATTGTCATCATTGTTGTCGTTGTTGTCTACTAGACAAATGTAAGAATCCACACATCGTGTATTACCTTTTGAGAGCAGATTTTAAGTCTGTTTCTTCTCTGTAGTTGAATGCATCGTCAAGTCCCAGCTTGTGCTTCAGTAATTCCACCTGAAACCGATTACTCCCAGATTAGTCTTCTAAGCTAAAATGGACAAGCTACTTTACAAAACAGCAATTCATGGCTATGACTCAAAAAAGGTCTGAGCTTTTTGGAACAAGATGGCCCTGTCAGATCAAAAAGATAACCTTTTTCTGGCTTCCTGCGCAACCAACCACATAGCAACCAAAAAGCTTTGCATATTGTGCTGCTAAACTTCCTACAGATCCAGAAGCAGAGGATACAAATACTTTTTCCTCTTTTTTGGGTTTGCACAATTCAAAGAACCCAGCATAAGCTGACAAACCATTGAACCCTGTCAAAGATATTAACAAGAAACAAAATTCCCCACCAATTCAGATTGCTTCACGACAATCAGTATACATATGTCAGTACAATTTCATGCAGCTGAGGGATTCCGGAGAAGTTGTCCACTCATTTCATATTTTTTAAGGGAGAAAGTCCCACTATTGACCCAAAAGAAGACTGAATATACTGTTGTTTTCTGACAGATGATATAGAATTGGGTAAGATTCTTCATGCTATAAAGTTATGAATTATGTTATGCAAATAAATGATGGGTGGAAAATAGATACCTAGAATTCCAAGATGGTAAGTGAGTGGGAATTCAGAGTGGTCCAGTTTGTTAACAATGCTTGCTTCTTTAACCAAGCTGTACTCGGCCCACGTGAACACTCCCACAACAACATCGTCCTTCTGAAACTTAGCACTCCCAGAAGCCACCACTTTCCCAATAGCAACACCATCAATTGCCTGCATATCCCAGTGCCGTCATTCCAAGTCATACCTGTGAATTTGATCTTGAAACATAAATAGTTCAGGAGCGAGTGTGTGCGTGCGTGTGTGTGTGTGTGTGTGAGAGAGAGAGAGAGAGACCTGATTAGGGGTGATGGGGGCTGCGAAGTATATGGCTTTCTGAGAGGAGCTATGGCTCTTCATGCGATTAATCTGGTAGGGATCGATGGAGATATAGAGATTCTTAACGATGACATCGTCAGAACCAGGCACCAGTGAAAGAGATAAGTTCTCAGTTTTGAGCTCAAAGTGAGACTCTTTCGGTGTATCCTCTATGTGATTCTTTATCACTACCAACTTGTTGCTCACTTCCATTTCTTCTTCTCCTCCTTCTCCTTCGTTGCGCTCTACCATGGCGGTCACTGGCTCATTTATATCCACGAAACGGAACGCGGAGACAAAATGGAATCCTCGTACAATCACAACATCTCGATTTCCTAGATTCCCTTGTACAAAAGCTGGATGTTCACAGCCGGCGCGTTGTCCTCCTTGGTGGGGGAGCAACTGGGTTCAATCCCACGGAGGAGTGTGTGTACGTGTAACCCTTGTAACCACAAAATAAAATAAAAATAAAAAAAGCTAGATGTTCACATAATTAATTCAGTAAGTTGATATCTATTTATGCATTGGTTAGTCCTTTTTACATCTGAAGACACCAATTAATCTATTTTAATTCAATTAAAAAGAATTCCGTTATTAACCACAAATATATAATTTACCCAAACTGTTTTGTAGGCAAATAGGAACTATTCTTTTTGTAAATAAAAGTTTAGATGTGTTGAATTTTAAAATTTAAAATAAAGACATGCATTCAGGTTTAAAGAATAATAATAGCTAAGACTATAATTATTAGAAGGACTATCTTAAAAAAAATACATAAATATGAGAGACAAAATGGATTAGGGTCTTATATTTAAAACAAAATAAAAATCAAACAGAGTCTTATATTAAGAACCGGAGGTAGTACTTACTAACAATGTCAATGTCATCACATCGTAACTATTTAATTATAAAGTACTGTAATAGTTGTTCTAAAAATGTTTGATAATGCGTTTTTTTTGAAAAAATAACAATCAATATACTAATATCCTATGACCTAACAACTATAGAATACTGTCAATTAAAAAGATTAAAGGAGAATTTCAGTTAAGGACCGCAGAAGACAATTTGTATTAATCAATAACTTTAGCCACCGGTGGCCGGAACAGTATCTCTGGTTAATATTTATTTTTAATAAAAAAAATGGAAGGGTATTATTGTAATCTCACTCTAAATTTTAATTTCAATTTGGTCCCTTAGTCCTGCAGTGAAATTTTAAAAAGTTTTGATCCTTGATTAATATAATTGTCTTCTGCTTTCCTTAACTGAAATTCTCCCAAGATTAAATGTACGAAACCTAGCCGAGCTACCATAATGCAATCCCTTTATTTATGTTGCCGATGTATAAGATAAAGACATCAAGTCAAAGAAAAATTAATTAGCATCCACCCATGTTTTTTAATGCAAAAGGAAATAAAATATCGCTTCGCTGAAATTAAGCAGGGCGGCTATTTTGTTCCGTTCTTTAAAGAGCTTTCTCTCCATTCTTAATTTAAAAAAAATAGTAGTTAATAGCTCTCAAATTAAAATTATTTCCAACTTTATCATCATAAAACGAGATTATGAAGGAGAGAGAAAAATGTAAAAAGTGACATATAGGCATTAATTATAAAGTTAAAATTGACGATGTACACACAGGACCAAGCAGCAGTTTGTACAATTTTTTTCCCCTACGTCATTTCAGTTTAATTTCCTCCCGGCACCAAAGCGGCGCTGTAAAATTGAAGCATGATGAGAATTAATATTAGAAATTTAACCCAGGATTTTGATTAAAAGAGTCCAGATGTTTTTTATCATGATCCCAATTCCCAAGGCTTTCGAATAAGAAGGGCTCAACCATCCGATGGCAGGACTGGCAGGACAGACAAAAATTTTCAGAAATCGCGCCAGGTAGGGGTCGAACCTACGACTTTCTGCTTAGGAAACAGACGCTCTATCCACTGAGCTACAGGCGCCAGTTAGTCAGTTATCTTTCATCAAATCATAACGTATATGTGACCACCCGCAGGCCCTCCCCCTACAGCAACGATCGAACCGGAGTCATCCAACCAAAGGTTGCGTGGGCCTCGGATTAACACGAGCAATGTTACGAGTTGATAACATGGAAATGTGGAATTGAAGACGGAATGATCATACATTTCACACTGTTGTTGGCTTACGCCATTGGTTAAACATGATTAAGTGGATAATGACTGAGCAATAATTACATCATGATAATATTAAACGCAGAATCTCCCCCGAGAATTTGAATGACTTCTCTGTTTCTTCCAGGCAATGATTCTTCTCCTCCCGAGTCCATCCCTGACAAAAACCACCAACCAACACATTCTCAGAATTCCATCTTCAATCACCAACTATGAATCATGTAAAAGGTTTTTGAGACATTCTTATTCTTTGATGGGATTTCTTATATAAGCAAGTTTCATGTAAAAGAATCTCAACTTGAGAAAAAACTTAGGGCTTGTTTGGTTTCTTGTTTTGAAAACAATTTTTTGTTTTTAAAAACAGAAAAACAAAAAAAACTTGTTTGGTAATTTCTTTTTAGTTGATTGTTTTAAAAAAAACAAAAAAACAATAATATGTTTTTTAAAATTGAAAAACCAAAACAACTTTTACATGTTTTCTTGTTTTTGTTTTTATGTTTTTTATTTTTTTATTTTGAGAAATTGGAGAAATCTTCTTTTTTTCCTCTACTACCTACTACTTATCACTACAGGTGATAACTACCACCTGTCAAAGTGTAAATTTTTATATTTTTTTCCAAATGTGATTTTTTAAAAATCATTTTCCAAACAAAGTTTTTTGCTTTTTGTTTTTGGTTCTCAAAACTTGTTCTTAAAAACAATTTTATAAAATTGTTTTGAGAATAAGAAAACAAAGAACAAAAACAAACAGGCCCTTAATTATTTTAAATTTTTTCCCCCGAGAAATGGAGCCCGGGATCAAAGGAAAAGGTATGAGAAACTTACTTCAGCAACTTTATTCAACTTGTCTCTCACATTCTGCAGTAGCTGGGAAAGATCACCATCCCATTTATAGAACTCCAATTCCTTGTTGTTGAGTATCTTCTCAGCCACCTAGAGAGACAAATTTGAGAGTTAAGATGACATTCAGCATAAAATAAATCAAGCAAAGCACTTCTAGGCTTTACCTCCACTGGAGGAAATGATTATAAAATATCTGTAACTGAATCAAGCCTCCTTTCTGGAAACCACATACATACCCACACAAAAGTGGCGGGCAACCACACTTGAACAAATAGCTGGTTCATTATTTCTCTCGCTATAACTTTAGATATTGCAAATTCTGATTAAAAAATTAGACACAAAAAGTTGCATTCCAATGAAGAATTATAGTGATTAGACGCCATAAAGATGCCTCCACAAGATAAAGTTTACGATGCAAAGAAAATATGAAGGCAGGAACAGAACTTATAGGCCGTGCCCAAGTGAGGTGATACGACCACGCTTTGGGCAGTTCAGGCATCTGACAGACTAGAAATGTGTCACGTATTCCATTTAACAGGAAGAAAATGGGGGCATTCCAACTACTTTGAAAACCTTAACTCCTTCAGTTATCTTAAATTTTTTGCATAGCCAATGATCAACAATAGTAATGATGCAGAAATTGGAGATGACAGAGAAGGGCCATTTCTAGAGATAATGATAATGGTAACTCCCCCAGCACCTTAACTGATGCACCATATGATTCATGCACAAACATTGGCAAGACTGAAACTTCAAATCTGATGTGCTGGTGAATTGATATCATCCAGGGTGGGTATGAGTTATTGACATAAATTGAAGAGAGATTGCATGAATTTGATTGATTACCTTCCTACCAATCATTCGACCACCTGCTGTATGGGCAAAGTAGATGTTGTAAAAGTGACAAATGAAGGCCTGGGGATCATTCTCTGATAACTCCTTAAGATACTGTGCATAGGTTAGACCAGGGGTGGAAGGTTCAGGAATGGTATGCCCTTGTTCACGGAACCACTGCAAATCCTTTTCTAAACTAGCAGACCTTTCCAATCCTGTATTTCTGAATTCAGCATCTGCAGAAGGAGCAGTGAAACTTCAACAGACTAAAAATCAACGTAAAAGAAAAAAGACATACAACAAGGGGCAGCAATTCATAAGTTATACACGTGCTAAAGAACCTAGATCAACCACTGCACACCCACAAACCCTCAGGAGGGCGAGATTGACATCGAAACAAACAAGAAGTCCTTGACATCAAGAAAATCAAATATGAATGATAATAATCTTCACTGCATCTGCATGTGCTTTAAGATGCAAGTGTAAATTCACCATTATCATAGTAGAAAGGCTATATATCACAGGTCTCCCACAGCTGCCCAAAACAAAAGCAATTAGGAACGGAAAGTAAAACCCTTTGTCCCTGGAACACCAGCTTTGAACCGTTTCTACATAAAGAAAAACAAGCCAGGCTTCGATGCAGTGTTGTGTGTATAAGCTAATTTTAGAGACATATGACAGGTAGAAACACTTTCTACAACAATCAACGAGGCAAGAATACTGTTACCCTATACACGATGATGGAGTTTATCTCAGAAGAAAAGACAATTATAATAAAATTAATTTTTGAGGGGGGCGGGAAAGAAGGAAAACTATTTCAGGCAAACTAATGAAGATTCCAGGAAAACTATTTCGGACCAACTAATGAAGATTGCATTATTCTTGGTGATATTCCACGCTCATTAGAAGTAACGCAAGACATATACGAGGACCACAAATATCTCCCATGTAAGGAATACTCATTTTGGCATAGGGTTCGAACTATGCATCATACTCCCATTATAGTTTTTACATGATTAAGAACACATTAAAAAACACCAAAATAAACATTTAACCCCGGTAAAAGCCTTGTAAGGATTTTGAATTTTCCAGCAGAGGAAATCCGAGAAGCAATGTTTCTCATTGGATGAATAATCCAATATAGATAACCACAATAATCACTTGAGTGGCTAATTTTTCTCTTTCAGTAGATTTTGCAAGCCGGATTTCTGGGTTCAACTTCTCCTAAATGACACTATATATTTCCACATCATTCAAAAGCGGTAAAAACAGTATATAGAACCCTTTTAGAACTCTGATATCTCCCATCATTATTTTGATGAAACCCCGCATAAAATTCCAAAGCCCTCAGAGCACAAACGACAGAAAATGAAACAGAACTTGAAATTAACTATATCTGTCTCACGTTAATAAGCGGTCAAAATGAAGATGAGTGACAACCAATCGGATGGACAACTATACGTCAGCCAGAGCCAGGATCAGCAAACTTACAGCCAACCCTAGGGAACCACCTTTCATTCACACAAATGAAGATCAACTCAATCAAGTACGAATCAGAACAGCGCAAAATATCATTAACCATTCAAAGACAAAGAACATTAACTCAGGGCAGGAACTCACAATAAGGATAAGCAGCATCTTCAATTATCTTCTCCAGCGTATCATAAACCAATTTGCTATCCACTAGAAACCGCAAATATCCATCAATTGTGAGTTCCCACTTGGTCACGCGTTGTTCCTCGGGTTCCTTGACTTCCTTCTCACCCTCCTTCGCCTGCTCTTTGGTATGCAACTTCATGGCCACAAACCTCATCTCCTCCACAAACCCCTTCGACTCACCCGGATAACGTTTCTTGGGTTTCTCAGCCGTTGTTGCAGAAACAACAGCCTTCTGGGCACCTTCGAAGTCCCATTTGGAGCCCGAATTTGCAAAGATAACCTTTTGGACAAGAAAAAGGTGCCAAATTTTGGATTGCCGATGAAACTGGGTACAATGGAAGGATATTGACGAGATGCTCTGATACGGAGCTCGCTAAAACGGGATTTAAATTGAGAAGCTGGAGCGAGAGAAGCCATAGGAGTGCACTAAGTCGAATTCAGTCTGAGACTAAAAAGGCGGTGAGAGCAAACCAAGTCTCGATTAAAGCAATCTTAAAGAAGAAGCAACAGAAAATTCACCAGAATAATAACCGAGTTGATATAGTAAACTTCCGGTCAAATATGTATATAAAAAGACGGTATCAATATCCTGGTCGAGTGGATGAAATGAATCTCTGCAACAAAGTAGGGGACTGAGTCCGTGAAAGCATCAGGTTCAAGCGGTACACCAATAACAAGCAGCAATCACAACAAATAAGTTTATTTGGTATGATAAGGGAAAAATAAGAGATCGTGCTTTTCCTCGTATAGGAGATTCTTGTTCTTTTTTCTGGCTTGTGCTGCTATTAGGGAAGGAATGGGGAAGATGTTTCGTGAAATAGCAGGAAAATAAAGGTTAGAAATGTCTATTAGGAAACAACAAGGAATAAAATAAAGCTAATGCTGGATTTCCCTGGTCGACACTGTGCCAAGCAGGACAACCAGATTAAACGACACCGTTCCTGAGGATACCGATTCTAGAATAACAACAGATCATGTGATGGTTATGAAAGCCAGGCAACGCTGTGAATGATTTGCCCGGATTGAGCAGTCTAAAACCGGGCGGTGGGCTGGAAACCGGAACCGGTTTAAGAAAGCGGACGGGCCAAAGTTTCCTCCTTTATTTGGAATCAAAAGGCGAAGGACGAGGAGGAAGGGGCACGAATAAGAAGATAAAAAGAGGGAAAGATAAGAAGCAGCCAACAGCCAACAGTAAGTCAAGCAGCAAACTTTAAAAACAAAAAAATCTGAAAAAGGGTCTTAACCTTTTCTTCCCTCCAACAATGACAACAAAAGAGCACAATGTAAAAAGGGTATTGGAGGACGAAGAGAATGAGATGAACTGAAGTGGAAACCCAGTGCCGTGGCCGGTTAAAATTGTGGAAGATTTTGAATCTGGAATAGTCATGGACAAAGCAGCTAGGATGACTTTAAAAATGACGATCGAGAGAGATTAAAGAAGCCTATGGACGGCATTGAAAACATGCGAAGAAAAAGGAAATGTTTCTAAAGTACATGAAAGATATTTTTTTTCACCTATTTACAAATCATCTTATTAAATTTTTAGTATTTTATCTTTCATTTATTATAGTCTAGATAATTATTTCTTTTAAAACATGTATATAGTAAATAAGTATAAAGTTAAAAAGTTGTTATATTATACTACATCCGGTCTTTAATATAAGACTCTGTTTGACTTTTATTTTGATCCTAAATATAAGACCTCAATCCACTTTGTCTCTTATATTTATACATTTTTTTCAAAGTAGCCCTTCTAGCAATGATAGTTCTAGTCAATACACTTGATTAGTAAGGATATTTTAGGAAAAACAACACCTATTTAGGACAAATAACTAACTCAACTTACTTCCTTAATCTCCTCAAATTAGTCAACTGACTCTTATAATTAGGACCGGAGGTAGTAGTAAAGAGTTAATGTAGTTTAAAATTTTTCTTAATTTATATAAAACATGCTGAATTTCCCTTATAAATAGAATCAAAGTATTATGTCCTACTTTAACTATTTAACATATCTTCAAGACATGCTCTATTATAAATACTTACTTTTTATAGTTAAATTCTCATAGGTATAATAATATTTTTTATTTAATTATTATGTTGGACTTTCAGTCTAATCGATTTCATTTGAACAATGATCCGCTAGTTTTTTCAGTTTCATGTTCAGTCAGCTACCTAGAACATTCTGCTTAGGAAAATGTTATTACCAATCAATGATCAAAAATATCAATCATCAGTCAATATATAAATATATGCAACAACGCTTTGATGTCTTTTGCCTTCCATTCGGGGAAAAAAAAGTGATATCCTTCTCAATATAAAATTCTAAAATTATGATTTGCAAGAAAAACAATCTTAAATATTTCATTATATACTTAGAATTTTTCCTAGTTTTGAATTTACATCATTTGAATTTATCCACCGATGGAGATAGAAGCGTGTTTAAAGAAAGAAGCTTCAACAGGTATAGCTATCTGGTTAAGAAACACCCCATCAACAGAGTCGCTTTGGCCGAGTGGTTAAGGCGTGTGCCTGCTAAGTACATGGGGTTTCCCCGCGAGAGTTCGAATCTCTCAGGCGACGTTGATATTTTTGTTCTTGTGCACTTTCCTTTAACTCCATCTTTGCCGATTCTGTCTTTGCTTTCACCGCTTCCCGTTTACGCCACTTTGCGTGTTGAATCCTGTTGCACGTATTCCTTTCCTTTCTAACAATCTTCATTTGTTGCCGTTTACATCAGATCAAACATCAATTATCTGTCTCTTTTTGTCATTTTACATTTCGTTCCGTGATCCCCATGAGTTGCCACCCACATATGGTTCTGGTTCACCAACAGCGCGAGTCAAGTTGAATGTTAGGAACAAACAAGACTCCTTTTGGAAGAATCTTCTTTCTGTGTGTGTATGGATATAAGCTTTTATTGCAAGGCAAGCACTGACTAGCATGGACCATGATTCTGCAGTGCTGAGTGTTATCATGATCTTGTGAGATAGGTTCGAATATTACGAGGGGAAAACAGAGCCAGTGGCCTCACTCGGCGATCCTGTGTGGATGACTATTTTTTGCATGATGTCTTTGCTGGTCCATCAGTTTTAGGTTGAATCAACCTAAAAATGGAGTTACTTGATGCCATGTGAGTGCAATAACGAGGTTGAGAATTAGCGAATTTGGAAACACGAGGTCTTAGAAATGAATTCTGTCCCATGCAGCAAGCAGTTCACTAAAAATTATCAGAAGTCTTGAAAACAACAAGAGAAAAAAGCACATATCTTCCATCAATTAGTTTCGTAAAGCTTTCGCGATCAGGCTAGGATCTACATGATTAATTGATCATGCCCGCAAAGTAATGTCTTTTCATGTAAATATCTACTAACATCTAATACTATTGACCAATGAAAATTTATAGTAAATTAGTCCAAATGAAAGAGTGGCTTGCCTCACAGTGACCACCATTAATATCTTCGTAGAGTCATCCAAGTCATGAAATGCATCAAAAAACCAAAAAAAAAAAAAAGGCAACCAGAAAGAAAACCTCTAAACCTGTATTAGTAACATTCAAGTAAGAAGCAGCTATAGAATATGGGGTTACAGTACATACTGATATTGAATATATAAGCGTCGGCAAAACGTCAAAACATGGCTAATCCTACAAACTGCAGAGGTTTTATTATCCGGAACCTATATGATTCTATCGATCCAACCAATCCCTTCTTTACATTTAGCATCTTACATCTGTGTTAGTATCTAAGGCATAAGCGTAACAGAGACTTCATTCTCAGGGGAAAACAAGAGGGGGACGGGTGCACTGCCCTCTCAAAGTAACCCAGCAGGTTACTTGGCCGTTTGTTCCAGAACTGGTATTTTCTTCCACTTTTCTTCCAATCCATTCATTTGCAGGGGTGGCAGTGAAAACACGCTAACTGTGGAGCTTCCACTTCTAATCTCCTGCAAAACATGCAATGCTGATATGGTACTCTTCATATAGAGACTCTCCATGTACTCAATCTCCGACATTTCCTTCGGTATCAGCAGACCATTGCTCTTGGTTGTAGCTGAACTTGAAGGATCACACCCTTCTGCTTGTGGATTTCCCTCACCACAGGCTGCTGGTTCATTTGCAGGGAAGAGGCGATCCAGCATTGATTCACATTCCTTTACTAGCTTGTAGAGGAGGTCAGTGGTGAAAAATGGCTGCTGCAATACCTTCTGAATGAATGGCAAGCGAATCAGGGCCCCAGTTCTCTTATCATACTTCTTTAGTATTTTCACTAGTCCTGTAGAAAGGAACATTGATTAATATCTGAAACTGTTGATGAACGAAGTCTAAGTTTACACAAATCCTCAATGTATGCTCAAAAGCATCTACTCTAGGCTGACTAAAGTTTAGCCTGTATAAATCACTTAATCTAAATATAGCTTTTAGCACTATTGAAGTGAGGGAGAAAAAGAAATTGAGCATCGGAGACTAGCTACAAATCTTTTTTAAAAGAAAAAATCATGATCAGCCAGTCCATTAAAAACGGATCATTTTGATTCATAAAGAATGAGGCGCAAGAGGACTTATGGAGAAACATCTCTTGTTCTTTTTACAAGATCCTGATTGGATCCACATGTGCTGGGTAAAAAGAACAAGATTCTCTTCAGCGTCAGCAAAAGACTTAAGAAAGTCATCTGCTATAATTACACCGAGTCTATCAGGATCCGATTTCATTTGTTTTTAAAGCAGTTTCAAAATAGAATCACTCTCAATTGAAAAGAGTCAGACTTCTATTCAAGGGTTATGGCCTTTCAATTGATGGGACCCTTCTATACCTTGTAATAGGAAGTTCTCTAGGTCGTTAATAAAAACACTAACATGGAATTTTTCAGGAGGCAACAAAAGTAGATACAGAAGGCATTATATTCATAGCGCTACCAACAATGTTAATTGACAAACTTCACTGAAATTGAGTTGAACAACTGGTCCTTATTTTAACACGCAACAGCTACAAGTTTTTATCAACTTCAAGAAAGACACGAGTATAATTACCCTATAGCGCACAAACACCACAGGTTACAACGTAAATATCTGATTTACTCTGTAATGGAGAGAGAGAAAGAATCCAAATTTCAAACAGTCCACATGATTTGTCCTCATGCTAGATTTTTTTTTTTAAGGGATTATTTAAAAGTAATATATTGAGAGTTTAAAGCACCTGTATAGTTAAGGGCACTGTAGTTTTCCAGCAAGACCATCTCTCCATGGAAATCAACAATTTCTTTCCGAATTTTCAGTAGCTCTTCATTAGAATCCTTTACTTTCGCCACCCTATCTTGTAACTCCTGCATTTTAATTACAATAAACACAAGTAAGAATACTAGTTCTCAGTATAAAGCTGCTTTACTTATCATTAAAGAATATGCTTAAGACTTTCTTTAGAATATATGATGCAAACCAGTGACAATATTTTGGAAATGCGAAAGCCACTAGCATAAGCATCTTGCCTTTCAACTATGCACAAAAACGACAACGTATGGCACTGTGCAGAATTTTTTTGGGGGATCATAACTCATAAGCACTATGAGGAGAGGTGAGCTGTGGTCCGTTAATCAGTTCCCCTTACCAAAGAATTTCTTTTTTTTTTCTGCTTTAATTTTTTGGGAGAAGGAAAAAAAAACAGATCTAATTCTAGCGCTGTGGTAAGTTGCGTCTCAGCTTTTTTCTAAGCATATATTCCAAAGCATATCAAGCCACCAAAAAAAAACAAAGAAAGAAAGAAAGAAGAAGAAGAACGAAAGAATAACAAAACTCTGAAACATAATCACTCGTGATTTGAAATTAAAATGGGAAATCCATGTTCGGAGTTCGGAATAGAATGATTTTCTCACCTTCAATTTGATAATGTACTCTTCCTCCTTCTCAACGAAGAAGTTATTAAATTTCTCGAGTTCGTTCTCCAACAAGTTCCTGAAGTCGCACTCCTCCTTGGACATGCCATCCTTGTCTCCGCCCTCCTTGGAATCAAAGGCGTCGACTCGCTGGCGTTTAGCGGCCCTGTCGGAGCCGCCGTCGCAGCCAACTTTAGCAGCAGGCTCCAACTGCTTCAACTTCTTCTTGAGCTCCTTGTAGGAGAGGAACTTGTCCCGCCACTCAGGCAGGGTTTTCTCGATCTGGTTGCTAAGACTCTTACCGAATTTCATGCTTCGTAGTGTGAAGAAACACACGATTCCAGCGAACAAACGAATTACAGAGGGTGTAAGTTGAGGAGGAATGTGTAGTTATGTGTGTGTACTAGAGGGAGGGGGGAGGAAAGAGGGAGAGGGAGGGGATGGAGAGGAGGAGGAGAGTGATATAACGGTAAAGGAAGGGAATATTCGGAGGACATTGATTGGAATATCCAAAAAAAGAGTATATTTGGGGTTTTATTCCCTTGCCCTGCTAGCCTCTCATATCACCTGCCAAATTGACTCCCATTCACTCTCAAATTTCAAGATTGATTTTTTTTAAAATGTCAGTTTAAGTGTAATTAAGCTTTAGATTTTGAAAATAATTGTTTTTCTTAAAATATGATTCATTATTTAGATTCACATTAGATAATAGTCTAATCAATTAGGTGAGTTAAGCCGAAAAGTAAGTAAAATTGAATATTAGTCAGACCTATTGATCTATTTTTATTTAAAAAATGCTTGTCGATATGACAACGATACATAGAGTAAAGGTAAAGCATATTCATCTTTTGCTCTTTTCTTTTCGACTGAGCACTCTTCAAGAGTAAGAGGAATTTCAAGTTTATTAGTGAGAATATTAACCTCTAAGTATATTATATTTGTATGCTTTGCAAGCTACAACATCCTCCTCTCTTAAAAGTGAAATTGAGTTTCTTTTCCATCCAAAAGTGAAATTAAGTTCGCTAACAACAAAAAAAATCAATTCACATATAGTGAACAAAATAATTTGAAATTGTTGAGTAATATCTATACACCCCTTATGCACTCAATATTTAGGGGGAGAAATCATGTGGATTAACAAATGCCATATATACATTGTCACCAAAATAGACAAATCCATGTTGTTTGTTTTCCTAATTAATATTAAGATATAAAAAAGAATATTTTATTTTATTTTATTTATTCAGGGGGGGATAGAGGGAGTAGAAGCCAAGGGGGAGCTTTGCTCATAAAAGACGCATGGTATAATTCGAAGGTCTTTGGAATATCCATTCCTCTGTGTTCAGTTTAGTCATAAATCAGACCTTCCTTCATCGCCAACCAACTGCTTTTATATAAATATATAGAAAAGACAATAATTTCAAATTATGTTTCAAAATGACAGTACATTTGAAATTAATGAATTTACAATGCTATCTTTCTGATGATGATGATGATGAGCAACGTGTGCACTTGATAATTAGTCATTTGTGTTCACCGCCATGCCAATATATATATCTGATAGGGTATTATAGACACAAGAATCGGATGAGGATAATGTGACGAGTTTAATTGGTCAAAATTAATGAGTTTGATTATATTTGGACTCCAAATTTAAAACATTTAAAGTTTTGGTCCATCAACCTAATAGGCTGAATCTCACCTGCGCCCTCGGATATACTTGGGCATAATCTAGATTCTTTCCTCCTTGTATATTCAGTTTTTTTAATTAAAAAAAATTAAATTGCCCAGAGCATGTGTAATAAGGTCGCATTGGTTTTAGTCAATAATACGGTTCTAACTTTTGACCAAAACAATTGTAAATGCTCATCCCATTAAAACCTAATTAATTAATTTGAGTATATCAATAATATTATTTTAATATTTTTTTTAAAATATGCTAAGCATCTTTCTTAATTCTTTCATCTCTCGTACCTAATTATTGTTCGAAGAATATTAATAGGGTGAATTTGAAAAAATTAATGAACATATAAAATAGATTTTATATACAGGACCAATATTAACTTTTCAATTAAATCACACTGAATACTAAACATGGACTTATTAGTTATTAACACTTGAAACTCTAATTGGCCGTACGATTTATTGAGGAGAAAGATGTGGAGAGGAAGTATTAACCCCTTTCCCCATGCAGCCAATTGTCAGATAATTTTATTTGTTTAATATAGATACCTCTATTTTTTAATTGAACTTATAATAACAAAAGGTATTAAACTTGAGATTTGTGTTGGATTATTTAAACCCTTGTACTTTAAATTTTAATGTGAACTTTATGATGTGTGTGTGGAATTTGATATTTGAATTGCAGATATGGTGGAAGAGGAAGAACAAAAGAGGTGGGAAGGTGAGTACCAACCAAGCAGCAATAGTATTTGTGCAGGGCCATGATGCTCATATGAAAATATTTCTTTAAAACAGATAAAATAAAGGAGGGCAGCATGAGTTGTAGCGGTTTATTCAGAAATATTAAGTTTGACTCATAAAAATTTGATCATATTAAATATTTGATGATAGAGATTCGTTGTGCTTTGTTGTCCTGCCCAACTAATCTAAATTAGCCTGGATCTTAATAAATTTTTTTATTAAAGTGAGATAGGTTAAAGAGACTAGATATTCAGAGATAAATAAATAAATTAGGAGATGCGGGAATAGAGATTTTTTTTTTTTTGGGAGCCGAAGGGAATAGAGATAATTACCCCACCAAAATAAAGAATGGGAAAAGGGAATATTCGGAAGGAGCTTCCTTTATTCTAGATGGGTCTCCACTCCTTGCTTAAAGCTTCTTGGTCCCACCCCTCCTCCCATGTTCTTTCCTGTCTTTTTATCTAACATCTACCCCACGCGCCCCTCCCCCCCCCCCCCAAAAAAAAATTCACCCTCAATTTCTAATTTCATATTATTCAAGTTAAATTTAAAAAAAATGATAAAAAAAGTAAAAATTACTAAATATTAAATAAAGAATGTTAACAAAAATTTATTATTATTTACAAATTCAGCATTGTCAACACCAAAAAAAATATTATTACTAAATTTGATTTTAAATTTAGTAATTTTTAATTTTTTTTTGGGTCATTTTTTCTTAAATTTATGGCGAATAACACTGTTATTCATAAATTACAAACATACATATGTCTCATTTATTTCAAATCTTATTCCGAATACATGGACACATGAATATGACATATTTCACTATTAGTCTTTTGTTCATGCTTATCTTTAATAATATCCTACCCTCTAATCCTTAATATAAAAATTAATTAGATGTTTAATTTAATTCTAAATATAAAACCTTGATTTATTTTATCCCTAATATTTATCTATTTCACTTCTAAATAATTCTCATAATAATTGCACATGTTAAGAAACTTTCATAATTTTGTCTGATAGCTTCATAAAAGCATAATTTCAATGCACATAATTTATATGAGTATTTAAAAAAAAACAACATCTATTTATTATAAATAATTAAACAAACAAATCTTCTTAATATTCACAAATTAAAAATGATAATGAAATTTGAGTATAATTTTTATATTTTTTTCAAGGGAAAAAAGGTATAGATTAGGATGAGAGCACGAACGCGTCTTAGGTCAAATCAGAAGAAGATCCCAAATGGTTAAAAGCATATACCCCAAACGCAAGGGACATGTGTGGCTAAAGTAGTTGGTCTTTTAAGAATCTGGTCCCTCCCCCGTTTACCCCATCTCCCTTCTCTCCTCCCTATTTTTATTATTCTAATTCCATCTCCCACAAATTTCAACTTCCACCCCCCACAATATTAGAAAAGGAAAAACCCCAAAAAAGAAAGAAAGGCAGAGAAGGAAAGCCATTATCACCAACTGGTCAAACTTTGTATATTTTATTTTCGGACACTTAAATCAAGACATAAAAAAATTGGTTGATTTTGATAATTAATTATCACCTAAAAAATTTTTTTAAAACTTTCAACACATGATATGATTTAATTAAAATGGTAAAAAAAATAATTGTATTTAAGTCTAATCATTTGATGGATAGATAAGGCTCGTGAACCAACAGCATGAATGATACTGTGGTACAGTATAAGCACGAAGAGGGCCCATTCGAACAGGGAATTGGACCATCTGGCCCAATAGGCATTTGAGATGCAACAAAAACATTAGTGTTCGGAGATCATCTGGAATGGGCCCAGGCCCAAATTAAAGTATCAATTGTAGGAGCATAGCATATTAGGATGTTTGGCAACCCAACAAAAAAAAAAAAGGAGAAGTCTTTTTCCTCTTAGTTAGAGGCTTTGAGTTTAAAGCCCTGGTTAACCTTTGTGTGCGTGTGCGCGTCTCAATTTTATTATTTTTATGTTCCATGGCTAATAAATAATGACGAAAAAGAATATATAGTTATTTATTTATTTACAGGGGAAACAGCACAATGATGGCCACCCAACTGCGATAAGCATTCTCGTACCATGGCGGCCCCAGCTCCAACAAGGAAGAGGATACTCTCAGCGTCCTCTTCCCTCAGCGTCCCTCAGCGGCGCAATCACAGCCATTAAAATTCATCTAACACAGATCATATTGTGCCACGTTGTGATATTATTAAAAATTAGAAATAAATCAAATTTTTTTACTAGATTTCAACTGGGATTATTTTTAGCATGGAACATTCAGTTTTTTTTTCACCTGGCTCATTTTAGTTAGAGAATCTACGAGACATTCAGACTCCAGACTTATCCAAATAACCATAAAGAATGAAAAAACTTAACCATTAAATATTTATATATAATTTTTTTGGACTTATCCATCTTAGACTGGAAAATTTATCTAAGTTCAATCTAATACAGATCAAGTCAGGCAAAACCATAAAGAGTGGCAAAACTATATCAAGTATTTTGCTTGATAGCAGAACTTTGCCTCTCTTGTGGTCTTATCTGACTCAATTTATATTAATTTGGACTCTAATAAACTCTTCAGTAAAAGAAATAGATCCAAGAAATTAGGTATTGCACTCAGATTTTTTTAAAAAAAGAATAGTTCTTTTTTTAAAAAAAAAAAAGCAATCTTATAGCATAATTAGATTTATTTTAATTTTTAATAGCATGATAATATGGCATATTGTGAGCTCTTAGATCAATCTGATGGTAGATATTGGGACGCTGAGAGACGCTGAGAGATGCTGCCGCTGAGAGAATCCAGACCCTTCGAACAACTCGTTTGTTGAATTCTCAGCAGTTACTATTTGTCAAATATTTTTATTCTGGATTTAAATATGTGCTGATAAATTATTTTTTAATCCAACTCTTGATATTGAAAAATAAAGGGTGTCCACACTCTTGATTTGGATATAAAAAACCTGTAACACAGTTTATATATAAAATCTTTTAATAATATGGTTAAACCTATATAC